AAAAGGCGTCTTCAAAATGCCAAGCGAAGCATACAATCCTTTGGGGCCACACCTTGGCTACCCAGGATGCCTGGAGACACTACATGTGGGGAAACGTGTCCGTGGTCCCCGCTCCACGCGAGCCATCAACTCCGGTGGCCACCTGGCCACTGCCACTCCCGGTGTAGAGCCGGTGGCTCCCAAGCCCTTGGCCCCGCGGTGGCTCACTCAGCCCTGTCTGCGAAGCCGGGCAGCCGACCCTTATCATTGGCTGCGCTGTCACCTTTCCCATCGAGGACAGAAGGGCCGAGGCCTGCGCTGGAGATCCTAGGTGGTGGTCCCGCCGCTCCCCTTCGGGGCTGGCTTCCTCCCACTCCGCCCCGCCAAATCCCCGCAAGTCAGGTCCCCCTTCGTCACCCCGGGGGCTTCTAATCACTCCGTATCGATTCCCCTAACTCTTTTCATCCCGTTGAAGACACATCTTAAAACACTCCAGCCCGGAGTGTGCTCTGGGCTTTATCCACACTAATAAAATGATTTACCCTGCTCTCTGCGCTCTCCTCACAGAGGAAAATCGTTCGAGCCCTGGCTATTCGTGTGTGATCAGTAAATATTTAGTGCGGTGACATCCTCAGCTAGGCTTCAGATCGATGCGGGGCCCACCGGGAGGTGTGCGCTCTGCGGGCGGGGCCGCGTCGGGCCCGCCGCCGAGGGGACTCCTGGTGTCCTGGCCATCGGCCGCAGATTTACAGCCCGGGCGGGAGGCCCGAGGAGGAGAGAGAAGTGGGGGGCAAAGCGCGTCTGGAAAATTGCCTTTTCAACCTTTTTACTTTTGACATTCAACCACTTCCCCCAGGCTGCCACTGTCTCCTCCACTCCCTCCTCCCTCCCCAGGGCTCTCTGTGCACCCCCAGAGCCCTTCCGGAGACCGTGAGACACGCTAGCGTCCCCGTGGCCTAGGACCACCTATCAGAGTCCTGCGTAACCACGCAGGGAGGCCCCAGCCCTTGCTTTGAGGGTCGTCCCCTTCGGGACACGATGCTCTTCGCCCGCCCATGCCTCCCTCCTAGGGCGGAAAAGAGGTGGAGGAGCTCAGAGCTGCGGCAGCAGTTAGGGACCTGCTTCCCTGCCACCCTTTCTGCAACCCCTGGCCTTTCCGCTCCTCCAACATCTTGTCCTTGTCGCCAGTCGGACCGCGGAGGTCGTCTGGTGGGAACTTTACTTTCTTCACCACCAGACGTCCCTTTCCGTAGGAGCAAAAAGGCGCTTAGCTGTGAAGTGTGGGGGGGGGGGGGGGGCGCTACTCTTGGCAGCTAGAGGGCTGTGGTCCAGGTGGCCCCGCGGTGTCAGCGCCTACCACGGGCGTGCTCACACAACTTCATGATTACATAGCCTCACCTTGACCCGGGGACCCCAGGGAAGTGGGTCCTGATGCAGAGTGGGCACTGCACGGCCTCATCTTGTCCTGCGATTCCTGCCACCTGGGACTGCTAAACTGCGGTGGCTGTAGTCCGTGAGGAATATCCAGCCACTCGTCAGGGAGGCTCCTCTGCTCTTAGACCTGGGGTTTTGGATCTGCAAGTCCTCGACCGCTGCCCGCCCACCTGTTGTTAACCGGCCTGATTTCCTCTCACCTGAGGCCTGGGCCTTTGCAATTCCCCTGGGGGCCCAGAGAAGACAGTGCAACCCGGCTGTGTCCACGCACCCCTCCCTACACTCTAATGCCCCCGCCTTTGTCATAACCATGGCTTTCTAAAACTCCATATCTGCAGAGGCTATCTTTATACTAATGCATACTTAATTGGTCCGTCTTGACTGTCCATATAAAACAATTTAATTAGGGTGCTTTTTTTTTTAGCTTTGGAGAGCAAAGAGAAGAAAATCTGCCCGATGCTTATTGTATTTAGCACCAATACAGGCAGAAAATGTAGCACAAGTTTTTGGTTGAAAGAGCACCTCTGTGTCCATTGAAGGGCGTTGATCCGAAAAGGCAGAAAGGACAAGTAAAATCGATTGGAAGCGACCCTCTCTGTCCCTTTCACACCATTCAGAAACTCCATTCCTTCTAAGACAAAGACCAGAGCCTTGGGAATTCTCAGGGAAAAGGAGGACTCCAATCCCACAAGCCTTGAACACCTCTTTTAAAATCTTCAATATTTCACTTTAAACCTGCCCTTGGTGCTGGACTCCCGCATGTGTGTTTTACGACCCCCTCCCCATCAAGAGCCATGCAGTTCTGCCACCGCCGCCCCCAGGCCACTGTCCGATTGGCCTTTCGGGCAGGGCGGGCCTTCCTTTTAGGGTTAGTGCGTCTCTCACCTTTGACCCTCAAGATTAGAGTGGCAGCCAGTGTTCTAAATTTGGCTAAAGTTGAAAGAAAATGACCACAAAATAATTACTCCTGTACTCCATTCTGGTTCAGCGCCTGAGCCACCTTACCCAACAGCCACCTCCACCCCTAATTTTCCCCCCTTTCTTCTCTGGCAATGAACAGCACTAAGCCACCTCTGAAGGAGGGAGCTGAGGTGGTCAGGACTGCATCTCTGGGTGGCGATGAGTTGCCAGGTCCTAATTGATCTTTCATTAGGTTATCCCAGGCGCCCAGGCTGGGCAAGGTGGTCATCGATCAGACCTGGCATGAAAAGAAAAGGGAGGAGGGAGAGAAGGAGAGAAGAGGGCAAGAGAAGGGGAGGAGAGAGGCCGGACTAAGATCACCTTCACCTGCCCTGAGGTGGGGGGGGCTCCCTATTGGAGATCCCTGGACCTTCAGCTAGGGTGAAGGGGGCGGGGCGGAAGGGAGGGGGCACTCCGGAGTCACACACACGTGGCCTCCTTCTAAGAGACAGAGTTCACCTCCTCTCGGGAGGAGTCCCACCAGCCATCCACTCAGTGTAACTGATGAGACAAACCGCAAGGAAAAACTTCTGTAGCCCATATTTATGGTATTAATGAATAGTTAAAAAAAGATTTACACTTCTTATGATCAATATTCTGAGTTATTTCCCTCAAAGTATATAATTACAGTGTCTTCAGGGTTTTCATCATTGTTTGAGGTGGCAAAACCATTTGTAATTTTCATTAGCCAGTAAACATGTAATTAACATTCAGCACTGTGTTTAACTTAATTCCTGTTGAAGACAAGGACAAGAACCAGTGAAGAGCGTTAGTTCCATTTGTCAAGTCTGACATTCATCTTACCATAACAGTTTCCTAAAATAAAAGATCCATGTTTCCCCATTATTCTTCTCTTAAAACAAAACAACAACAACAACAACAACAAAAATCCATTAGTTAAAACTCTACTGAACTGCAAGCCGCAGTCCAGTCTAGTCTCAATTTTTGCTAGTTATTGTCTCTCTGCTTCCTTTATTCGTTTGGGGGGAAAGATAATGGGAGGGGATGAATTAAGTATTCATTATTTGCAGGCATGAAATGGGGAACCCCTCCCCCCAAAAGAAATAGATTTCCTCTTCAGGAAAGTTCTAGAATGGACAGTAGAAAGGGGGAGGGAAGCACTAATCCACAGGGGAGAGGGAGAAAAATCATTTGGGTGGGGGCGACTTGAGTTAAAAGTGGAAAATGAGGATTCCAACTGATTCCTAGGAAAAAATGTTGGCCTCCTGTTTCAACTTCTATCTTTGATCCAGGGTGAGAGGACCCTGTCTGCCAGTCTACCAGGCTGCAGCTTCCCCCTCCTCTCCCACCTCTGTTTTTTTTCCCAACTTGCTTTAGGATTAGCCTCCGTCCCTCTCGACCCCAAACCGTGGAATTTGGCTGTGCCTCCGGGTGTCTTGCTTTGCAATATTGCCTATAGTTGTTTGCGGTTTTCTGCTCAGGCTGAGCCGTTTGCTCCAGCCTCCGACTAAACTCATTAAGTTGGGGGATTTTTTTTTTTTTCAATTGGAAGGGTGTTTTTAAAGTCTCCTCTTTCCAGCCCCAAACAAGGTGTAACAACGCACTCTTCCTTCTAAGGCATCAGATGAGAGACAAGGATCACTCCAGACATCTCCTACCTACGGTTTGGGGTTTTTTTTTCTTAAAGGCGAGGCTTGCATTCCTCAGCAGCTATGTACAAAGCTCCCTGAAGCCGCGTCTCTCTCTAAAGTTAGTGTGCAGGCTTTTTCCAAAGGCTGAGAGCGCCTGGTACACAGGGAAGCACTTCCTTGAGGTGGAAGATCTCTCCCTCACCTTTCCTCTTTTTCCCTGCAGACTAATGCCTACTTTTTTATCAGTTTGCACAATCGCTTAGATAAACACCGAGGAGGAGAGTCTCTTTAATTATCAAAGACACATCTTTTCAGGGGGCCAACAAAGCGTTTATTTCACCCGCCAAACTAAAGGAGAGTTATTCCAGTTTAGGAAGAAGATGCAAGCGGTTTGGGACCTTGAACAAGGCAAATATGGTTTTGGTATGTTTGCTTTCCGTATTTATTTTTCTCTTTCTCTTCTTTCTCACTTTTCTCCTTGTGCTATGTGGGTTTGGGGATGACTTGGGGATTTTCAGAAAATCGGTTTGCTAACGTGTATGCATTGCCTTGGACTGTGGTTGAAGGGGTGGGGGGGCAGTCAATTCAGTGCGTTGCCATATTTTATTACATGTGTGTGGTAGCAGAGGTGGGAGAGGGGGTGGTAAATACAATTGCAAAGCTGCCAAAATATGATTAAACCGAAGCATAAAGACCGCGGTTGCCTCCCATCTCCTCATCCTGTCTTCTCAAACTCATTTCCTTCCATAGAACTGACCGAAAACCAGCCATAGAAGCCTGGTTGTCCGAGCAGTAAGATGACTGGGTTTGTTAGCAAAGGGGCTGCTATGCTGGCTTTAGGTATCAGAATTTCCTGTTCGATTTGCCTCTGCGCTTCATTTTGCAACCTTGTGCAGCTGACAGGCAGGCAGGCAGGCAGGCGGGAGGGCGGGCGGGCGAGCAGGGACCAAAGCCCTTGCCCGGCGCCCTCGGCTGCGGTTCCTGAAGGCGAGCGCTCTGTTAAGCTAGGAGAATCGCAAGGAGAAGGGTACTCACCATCGGGCGGGGTGGTGGAGCTGGCGTGCGGATTTCAGGCAAACGGTTTACCTTTTTGCTGTCTATTGCAACCGCGCCGGGCTGACTTTAGAAGCAATTCTGTGCTGTGTGCAAAATGTTCATGGAACGGTTCCTCATTTTTAAAAAGCCAGCGAGAGAGACGACAGAGGCAGAAAGAAAAAGAGAGGAGGGGTGAGGGGGACGCACATAAACCCAGTTCAAAAAAAAAAAAAAAAAATCACCTCTTCACCAGTGACTCGAGAAACGTAGAGGCGACGAGATTCCAGTGCAGTCCAACCAAGCCACAGCCAAATAATTTTAAATCCTGAAGAATTATTCAGATTAAAATGTACAGAAGTTTCATTCTCCTATGCCTACGTGAGCCCCAAGTCGTTTCCCTTTAAGGGCTCCTTTTCTTATAAAGTTGGATTTTAGGCAGCGAGGACTCTTACACTAGGGGGCAGACGGATACTGTACTTGCTCCAATCTTAAGCAATTTTTTTTCCCCTCCCAGCATATGCTCTGATTTAGCACTGTAAATTTTTCAGAGGACCCAACTCTGACAGCCCCTGGTGATTTTCAAAGTACCACAAGCCAGTGGTTAAAAATTGCATTGACTTGGAAGTTCAGTGGGACACAATGGAAGCCCCTTCCCTATTCACCGAGCTCCAGTGTGGTGGAAGAGAAAAACACACACGACTAGATGGAGGGGTAGGAGAAATTCAATGGATCCTGGATTCTACTGAACTCAGAGTTAAATTCGGCATTGCTGGGGTCTGTATTCACATTGTGATTTAATCTGTAAAGAATTACAGACCAGCCAACCACTTTCTGCAAGGAAACCATATTCCTGGGAGTTGGGGACTTTTTTTTTTCAGATTAAGACAAATGTTTTTCCCTAACTTTGACCAGTTAAATAAAGCTTGTCACAATTCTCATTAAAATAAATTTACATTTGCAGTAAAAGGCTCGGTTGAGTTTTTTAAAATAATAATATGTAGACATGTATCTTTTAGTCAGGACATTTAAATCTTAGAGTTAAGACAGCTGAGCATCTTTGAAAAGGACATTTAAAAAATATTTTTGCTTTTTTTTTTAACCCCTCAGTCTGGCTGTCCTGTCTCTTCGTCCACTCATTAAATTAACTACAATTCATATGGTGATTTTTTTCTTCTCCTTCTAAACAGCATTTCTGTAGCTAAATCAACCTTAAAATACAAAGTGAAGCACCCCTGACTTGATAGTAGCTGTGTGGCCATGTATCTAGCGGGCTGCAGTTCTGTAAGAGGGAAATTCTTCATTTTACTGCCTAAAGAAATTACAGCCTTCACCCATATGTGTGTATGTGTGTGTGTGTGTGTGTGTGTGTGTGTGTGTATATGTGTATGTGTATGTATATACATACATACACATATATATATGTATATATATATATATATATATATATATATAAAGTTTCTCCTCCTCAAACATCATCTTCGTGTGTGTGCAGAAAGTAATCTTGCCATGAAAATGGCTGCACTGGAGAGGCAAGATTAACATTTCTCTATAATCAATTATGCTCATCTATTAAGTCGAGATGGGAATACCTATTAGATTTCCTGTGTCAACCTCAGTCTCACTGTATGCTGAGCTTGCCTCTATAATCTGATATTTGCAGCATCAAATAATTCCCCAAATCAGAGAAATTAAAAGAAAAAAAAAACCCAGACTTCTCTGAAATGATTTATTTTCCATCTTTCCTTCTTGTTCTCTGTAGGAAAAAGTTATGTGGTATCTCTAATCAGCCAGAAGTGCTCAGCCTGGCTTTACCCTGTGGCCACCTTATTTAACACACCAGGTTTATGATAGTCAAGTACCTGCTCTACCTTCTTATTTCTTAAAACATTCAAACAAACACAGTACCTGCCACTTTGGTGTAATGTGTGATTTCAGTACAGAAGGAGAAGGTAAGGAGGACTTTTAAAAATATATATATGATTTTTTTTCCTTGCCGAAAAGCCAGCTTCTGTCTCCCCCACATCTTCACACGCTCCTCACCTCACACTCTGCCTGTATGTGGACAAGAAACTGCCCGAAAGTGCAGTCTACCCATGTCACTTCCACGTCCGGTTTATTTTATTAAAGTAACTTTATATTGCCAGATTTTTGTGCTGTCAAGGATGCTTTTCAGAAGTTGTCAGTTTACTCTTTGCAGTGTCCTCTTTTTTTCCCCCAGTAGCTCAGCATCTTTTGTGTAAAAAATAGTTTCATTGTTGGTAAACCTGTTTGACCTATGGATTTAGTTTTGGCTTGGTGCAAAGTACTCCCTATTAAGCACAAATTTCTCATACAAATGTGGAATCCTCACAATCAACTACCTGGTCCTAATCAAGCCAGTGGAATATAATGTGTCCTGGGGGTGGTTCTATATATTTGATGTTTAAAACTCAGGCACACATTCAAAGACACAGCAACGTCCATGGTTTGAGCATCGTGAGCAGAATGTCATGGGCTGTGGGGTTGTTTTTTTCTGCGGCGACTCTTTGGAGGAAGACTATAGCTTGTTTGTGGTTCTTGTGAGTTGTGCTGGTATTATTGCCAATTTGAAGCAGGCTCTCTGGGTGTGTTTTAATGACTACATGGATGTTTAAAGAGAATTTGAACAATGAAGTCCGTATTCAACTGTTCTATGACCTAGAAGCATCGTGTTGGACGTCTTTGTCTGTGTACATTGACAAATGTGCATCTGATACATGTGCGTTTACATGTGTGTACAGAGGGTGTGCACAGGCGAGGATGAGCGACTGCCTACGCCTGTCCATCAGCGGACAGAAAGGTCTTTCTCCCTCTTTTCATGACCGGGTGTGTGACAGGTCACTGGCTGGCCAGTTAGCTAAAACCAATGAGAGAGGATAAAGTTGAGGGGAATTTATTTTAATTGCGTGATGACAATGAGGTGAAATCTACTTGTGCTTCTCAGCATCCGAGATGCTTCATTTGAGCAATTAAAATGTCAGGCCACAAATCTATAAAATATTAACCCTCCAAAGAAAAAGGCAGATATTCAACGGCTCCTTTTCCTATAAAACAAACAAACAAAAAGGAGCTACCAAACGGAGCAAGTGATGAGAGTTCATTAAGCAAAGGATTTGCCACCACACGGATGTAGTCAAATCTTTCTTTTGCAAGCTCAGATCCCGGCACCTTGCCACCTCCGCTGCGTACCCCTCTACAAAGAAGAGGGAAGCGTTATCCGTCTTTAGCATCGTGGGCTCTACATAATGCGCCGGGAGTCCCGGGTGGAGCGCGAGCCGCCGCGCATTTAGTGGCAAAGCCAAGTTGCGAGAAGACTAAGTCTTCGGCTCCATCCTCAACCTCTAGCGGAGCCTTTAAGAGGCGTAGTGTGTGCGCAGCGCGCTCGCCTCGCCGCCGGGGCGGTAACCTCGGGTGCCGGGTGCGGGGCGAGCGGGGTCCGCGCTCCCGGACCCGCCCGGGCCCATCCCCCGCTCGGTGGCCTGGGCGGCGCGGCCACCCGTCCCCGCCCCCCTCCGTCCCCGCGCGCCCCGCGCGGCAGTCGCGCGACGCCGCTCGCACTAGGACCGGGCTGCTCCTGCTGCCGCCATGGCGGGGCCGCCGCGCTCCGGCCAATGACGGCGAGGGGGCGGCGCGCGCGCGCCGGGCCAGGCCAACCCCGGCGGCTGCCTTATAAGGCGCGCCGTCGCCATGGTAACGTGCGCTAAGTTGCAGCAGTCGTGTCAAAGTTCACTATATAGAGAGCTCAGTGAGCTGATCGCGGAGAAGCCACTTCTGCCAGCCCCGGCGCCTATAAATCGCATTCCCTCCCGCGCCCCCCTTTTTAGCATATTTGATCACTTTGATTCTGCTCTTTTCTCTCCGCGGTGTGTGCGTGCGTGCGCGCGTGTGTGTTTTCTTCTCCTCCTCCTCTGCCGGAGTTGCCTCCTTTCTCCGGGTGCCGCGCTGCTCTTCCCTCTTTCATTCTTTCTCTCCGTTTCTCCCCCCTCTGCGCACGAAGGATGCGCTTCTAGGTGCTGATCTGCCCTCCTTTCTCTCTTATCATCTCTCCCCCGCCGCTGGCGAGTTGACTCTTTCCCTATGTGTGTGAGGCGGCGGCGGCAGCAGCAGCAGCAGCAGCAGCAGCTCCGGCGGCGGCAACAGCGGCAGCAGCGACTCCACCGGCGGCGGCGGCGCTAGACGCGGCGGCTCCGGGCCCGACCCGGAGGCTTCGGCGGCAGCGGCGGCGGCGGCGGCCCGGGCGGCCCACGGGGAGCAGCGAGCGGCCTCCAAGAGCGGCGGCGGCGGCGGCGTCCGGAGCGAGCGCGGCGCGCGCCAGGCGCCCGGGGCAGGAGGCGGCGGCGGCGGCCCAGCGCCAGGACGACGCCGCGCAGCGCCGGACGCGGACCACTTTCATGCTGATTCCCCCGGACCCGGGCAGAGCTCCGGCCACTCCGCGGGCCGCCGGCCTCCGCCCCGGCCTGCCTGGCTCCCAGGGCGCGCCCGCGCCCGGCGCCTCCGCTCTCCCAGTCCTCCTGATTTCGATGGCTTTCCTGAATGGCTGACTGTGGGCTGCCCTGGACTTGGCCCCCGGACAGTCGCCTTTCCTTCTCCTCTTCCTCCTCCTCCTCTTCCTCCTCCTTCTCCTCCAACTCCTCCGCTGCACACTAGATCTGAGAGCGAGAGAGTGAACGAGAGAGGGAGAGAGGGAGGGAGAGTGAGAGCGAGCGAGATCTTTGGAGAGATTTTTTTTTTTTTTTTGCCTCCTACTTCTGTCTTGAAGCCAGACAATCGACTTGCAGCTCTCTCTCTCCCCTCCCTCTCTCCACGTTCTGCTCCCACTCGCTCTCCCCTGTCCTCTTGCCCTCCCCTCTTGACGGAAAGCCCCCCGAAACCAACAAAGCTGAGCCGAGGGAAACAAACAAAACAAACACACCGGGCCAGACAAGCAATCGACAAAACTTTGCAAAAGCAAAAACAAAAAAGGAAAAACTAACCAACCTCAATCAACTAGCCCTGAGCCACCCGGGGCGCCCTCCCGCGCCCTCTCGCACCCTCGCACACACAAAAGGCGGCGCGCCGGAGCCCGAGACCCGGGAGCCGCCGCCACCCCGCCGCCGCCCGCAGCCAGGGGAGCAGAAGTCCGGACGCGGCCCCCATAGATATGGCAATGGTAGTCAGCACGTGGCGCGACCCCCAGGACGAGGTGCCCGGCTCTCAGGGCAGCCAGGCCTCGCAGGCGCCGCCCGTGCCGGGCCCGCCGCCTGGCGCCCCGCACACGCCACAGACGCCGGGCCAAGGGGGCCCGGCCAGCACGCCGGCCCAGACAGCGGCTGGCGGCCAGGGCGGCCCTGGCGGCCCCGGCAGCGACAAGCAGCAGCAGCAGCAGCACATCGAGTGTGTGGTGTGCGGGGACAAGTCGAGCGGCAAGCACTACGGCCAATTCACGTGCGAGGGCTGCAAGAGCTTCTTCAAGCGCAGCGTGCGGAGGAACCTGAGCTACACGTGCCGCGCCAACCGGAACTGTCCCATCGACCAGCACCACCGCAACCAGTGCCAGTACTGCCGCCTCAAAAAGTGCCTCAAAGTGGGCATGAGACGGGAAGGTATCGGCCTCTCATTTCTCCCCCCTTCGCCCGCGGTCCCGGGGCCCTGGGTGCGTTTGGCTAGCCTGCTCTGGGTAAGGACACAGCAGCCCCAAGCTCCCCGTGTTGCAGCCAAAGGGGGTTTGGTACTAGGAGCAGGGTCTGCATTGCAACCCAGACCACCCCCACCCCCACCCTCCAGTCCGCATGCTTTAGCAGACTTTCCTTCTCCAATCTTTCTTCAGGCTGCTTTTCCTTTCCTTTGCATTGATTGAGAGTTCATTCGAGTTCACCTTTCTGCAAGGGATGGATTGTTGTTTGTTGTTGTTTTAAAGTCCTCTCTTTCTCTCTCTCTCTCTCTCCCCTTGCTTTTCCTGCATGTTCAACATATGTCCCTCCTCCTTACCCCTCTCCCCAACCCCCACCTTCTCAAAAAAAAAAAAAAAACCAACCTGAGATTGTACTTTTGTACAGAAGGTTCAAATTACAAATGGCAATTTTATGCACTTCGCCGTATTAACGCTGCCTCCTGGGCAGCGCTCATGTGACCTCTCCATGGATTAACATTCTGCTTTAAAAAATATCTCTTGTTTTTCTTTTTCTTTTTTCCTTTCACTTTTGAAACCAAGAGAGCTGTGTAGGGAGTAAGAAAGTGTGGACGAGGGGCCTTGGGCCGCTGCTTTCGCTCGGCACCGGTTGGGTCTTTGTGATATAAAATTCGCCCAGAGCCGGGAACAGTGCTCTACCAATGGCGCGCTCCGCGCCCGGCGCGGGCTCCGGGTTGGGGCGAGCCAAAGCCGGGGTTTCTTTGTGTTTCTGCGAGAGCGACTCTTTCGGTGCAGAGTCAGATAACAGCAGGAGCCTGAGCCTTGCTAGCTTTCCCTGGCCGTCACGGGCCTTACCCGGGCTCCGCCAGCGCCCGCCGCCGGCTCCCTGCCTCTCTCCGGCTTCATCTCGTTTCTGCCGGCCTCTCTTTCTCTCTCCGCCCTCCTCTCCCTTGTCTCCCCTCCTCCGAGCTCACTGATCAGGCTGAGGCGCCGGACCTAGACTCTGTCTCTCGCCGGGGTTTCCCTCTTGGGCCGGGGTTGAGGTTACATGGTTTGGGGACAGTCATTCGGGGGTGGCCATAGGCCATCTGGGGTAAACCTTGATGTCTTGTGCAAAAGCGTCTCACCCTCCCCCTACGCTCCGCTCCCGTTCCTTCTCCAATCAATAAGAAATATCAGCTGTTTAGCAGAGGAAAAAAAAAAGAAGAAAGGTGCCCCAGAATGCTACATCCCTCTCACAGCTCGGGGGACCCCCCAGGCAAAGTGACCAATTCTGGGTTCTCGGCAGACCAGCCCCAGATGGGCCTCGCAGGCAAGTGTTGAGCTCTGGCGGTCAGAACCGGCCTGGGAGGTGATTTGTGAGGAGTGGTTGCCGGGAGCCCGGCTGTAGCAGGCCTGCCTGGTTCTTGGCGCTGTTCTGGGGCCTGGGACAGGTTGGGGTCATATAGAAGGATGCGGGACCAAGGCTGATCATTAACCGTGGAGTGTCCCCTTTCCTCTCTGCAGCTGTACAGAGGGGCAGGATGCCGCCCACCCAGCCTACCCACGGGCAGTTCGCGCTGACCAACGGGGACCCCCTCAACTGCCACTCGTACCTGTCCGGATATATTTCCCTGCTGCTGCGCGCAGAGCCCTACCCCACGTCTCGCTTCGGCAGCCAGTGCATGCAGCCTAACAACATCATGGGCATCGAGAACATTTGCGAACTGGCGGCGCGGATGCTCTTCAGCGCCGTGGAGTGGGCCCGGAACATCCCCTTCTTCCCTGACCTGCAGATCACGGACCAGGTGGCCCTTCTTCGCCTCACCTGGAGCGAGCTGTTCGTGCTGAATGCAGCGCAGTGCTCCATGCCCCTCCACGTCGCCCCGCTCCTGGCCGCTGCTGGCCTGCACGCTTCACCCATGTCGGCCGACCGGGTGGTCGCCTTTATGGACCACATACGGATCTTCCAAGAGCAAGTGGAGAAGCTCAAGGCACTGCACGTCGATTCCGCCGAGTACAGCTGCCTCAAGGCCATAGTCCTGTTCACCTCAGGTAGGATGGAGACTTGTTCTCAGGTACCCAGGAGCTCCCAGGGCAGAGTTAGGGCCTGGAAAAGTGGCCAGCCCCATTTCCCCTTTAAAAGGCCAAGCTGTAGAGTGTATTTTAAAGTGGGAACTTGATGTGACTGCTGGCTTGTCCTGCTGTGTGCAGAAGGATGCTCCACACACTGACTCCCAGAGAGGCCCTCTCGGCCCCCTTCCTCTCCTGCAGTATCCAACCTGGAATGCACTCTCCTACTCCCTCACTAAGCCCAGGCCCTCTGGGCCTAGGTGGCCCCCAGGGAATCTCCTCAAGCTCTCGGCTTCTTTTCTTTTCTTTTCTTTTCTTTTGGGCACCCTGTCTGAGACCTGAAGGAGATGCCCCTGGACACATTGCAGCCCTGGCATCATCTCTGTAAGAGAAAGTTTGTCCCTGCAGGGGGAAAGTTTGCTTGTGAACTCAGTAGGAGTTGAGGCTCCAGACAACCCTAACCTGAGAGCAGCAGTTTTCAAAATCACGTTCTCATGAAAATAATGCAGGCTGCCAGGAGAAGGGGGACTCCTGCCAGAGAAGGGCAGGAAGGGGCTGTAGGACGGCCCTAATTCCAGAATGTCTGCAGGGGGCTGAAGGCTGGCCTCTGGCTTCTCCTGTTCAGGCACACTTGAGGCAGTTTTCAAGCAACCCAAAGTGTGTGCCAACTTGGGCTGGATCTGAATGTTGCTGGAGATATAAAACCATCATTGACTGCATTAGGAAATCTAATTAGTTTGCATGTAGTTTAACCTGTGTGAGTAATAGATCTGATATTCATTAACTCTTGAGGCCAAATGATTTTTTGAAAGTGTCTGGTTTTCCATTTGGGGCCACACCTGAGCCTTTTGGCTGCCTCCCGGCTCAGTTCAGGCACGGCCCAGGTGGGTGGAAATCACCCCCACCCTTCAACATTCTTGTACTAAGTTGTCAGCTGATTCCTTTGTCATGGCCGAGAAGGGAACAGGGTTCCTGACTAAGAGTAACAAACATCTGGGCATTGGCAGGGCCTGGAACCTAGTCACCCACTCCAGATCTTACAGATCTTAAGCTTACAGTGAGAAAACTAGAAGAGATGTGTGAGTTTATGGGACACACAGACAGGAGTACCACGGTTTCTTCTTTGTTGTTTAAAGAAGTCTGGGAACCAAGTCATTAGCTGAGTCCATTGCAGGCTCATTCTCAATCTGCTGTCTTCTATGAGTTACTGTTTTTCACATAGAACACCCCACCCACCCACCCCAGTCACCCCAAACCCTGCCTTCCAAAGTCCTTAGATAATCAATCAGAGGTCAGCACTCTGGTCAGGCCAGAGCTGTAAAGAGAGGGTTGAATCTGGTTTATTCTTCTCATGAGCCCCGCATGTCTACAGTGTTTGCCTGACACAAATGCAGAAGAACACTAGTCCTGTCCCATAGCCACCTTCACCCCCTTCTCGTAACCCGATACCCAGCCCATGTCCTCAGATGATGGGGATGGCTGTGAATTTCTTGATATCATTGTTAGTCCTTTGCCTTTACCCCTGGTCTTTCAAGGAAAGAAATGCCTGGTACTGTCGAAACAGTTTAATTTATTGCTGTTTGCAAGATGTGGAGGCCTGTATGGAGAATGCAGATGGCCTCACAAAGAGATAAAGGTTCCTGTTATCTGATTCAGAGAGAGACACACAGTACCAATGAGGGAAGGAGTCCTAGACAAACAGATCTTTTCATTCCTGACCACAGACACCTAGGCATCTGTAGACACATGGAGTCCTGGACACAGTGGAGGAGGTTGCATGTGTGTTCTGCTGGTAGGGGTGGAGGCGGTGGTGGTGACTGTTTTCGAATATCTGTTTTAATGATTCACAATATGCATGTGTTAACCCCAGTCTTGTCTGGGGAGCCCTGAAAGGTCAGGTCACAACCTGAACCGCCTTCACCGAGAAGCGTCTCATTTCAAAGGCACTTATTGTAATTTCACGTATCAGAAAAAAGAAAAGTGTTTTCCTGAAGATAACGGGGAGGGGGGGGATGCTTCTTGGAGAGACCTGGGCTTAAAAAAAAATATAATAAAGGGGGGTGGGAGAAAAGAGAGAGAGAAGAAAAGGAGGGGAAAGAAACAGCTCAAATGAACAGAGAGATCACAGTTTGCATGGCTGCCTTTCAATAGGGCTAAACTGACAAGATCAGTTTTAAAGGGCCACTTAAATCAGTTTCAAAGACTGGAGAAAAATGAGTCGCTCTCTTTGGGGAGAATCTGAGGCTGGGTCTTGGACGCCATTACTGAAAGCTGGGCCAGGTTGTCACCCTCCTCCCTATACACACTATATAATAAGCCAAATTCAGAGGATGGGGGAAGAAGCCTTGGTGGTTTTGGTTTTGTCTGTTGAGTACTAAATTGGGCCAGATACACCAATGTACTTTTTCTTGGGCCTCCCAGTGACCCAGGCTGAGGACTGGGGCAATGAAAGCTTGCAGCACCCAAGCGTGTTTTATTTTAAAGTAAACACTCCAGGACCATCTCAAGCTTTGCCGCCTGCCTCCTCCCTCCTCCCCCTCGAAGTTTCCAGTGTATAGGCATTTGCTCCAACTCTGGATGGGGCAGTTTGACAGGGCAATGTGTGCACACCTCAGGTGACCCATTTCAAGCCTCTTAATCTGATGAATTCTCTCTCTCCCTCTTTCTGTACTTTTTTTTTTTTTTAACTTTCTTCCAGATGCCTGTGGTCTGTCTGATGTAGCCCATGTGGAAAGCTTGCAGGAAAAGTCCCAGTGTGCTTTGGAAGAGTACGTTAGGAGCCAGTACCCCAACCAGCCAACGCGGTTCGGAAAGCTTTTGCTTCGCCTCCCTTCCCTCCGCACGGTCTCCTCCTCAGTCATAGAGCAATTGTTTTTCGTCCGTTTGGTAGGTAAAACCCCCATCGAAACCCTCATCCGGGATATGTTACTGTCCGGCAGCAGTTTTAACTGGCCGTATATGGCAATTCAATAAATAAATAAATCAAAATAAGAAGGGGGAGTGAAACACAGAAAGAAAAGGCAAAAGACTGGTTTTGTTTGCTTAATTTCCTTCTGTTAAGAAAGGATGTTACAAGTTTGCTAAAAAGAAGAGGGGGAAGAATTTAATGGACTGTGAATTTCAAAAAGAGAGAGAGAGAGAGACTGTCAAATGAACTTTTACAGAATGCATTAAAAAAAGAAAACAACTGTGTTGGGCAGAACAGCAACTTGCTACTTATCATTTTTGTATAAAAAGGAAATTAGTCTTTTTTTCTTTTTGGTAAATTTTTGAAAAATATTGCTAAAAGTGCATTTAAGGAGATTGGGAGAAAATTAGCAGAATGGACAAAGTAAGTCTTTTTTTTTTTCCAAATTATTAATTGTCCTGTGTCTATGTACCTCTAGCTGGTTTTTTTTTTTTGTACTTTTCTGGTTCCAAACCAGTTTATTCTGTGGTTCTATAATAAGTTTTGATATAATCTTGGCTTCTTAAAAACTGTGTATCATTAAAATATATGTTCTGCAAGAATTAAAACTGAGTCCATGAAAATATCATAGGAAGACATAAAACTTTAAAAGGCAACTCAGATGGTGGAAATGCACTTACCAGTGGTGGCCAAATTTTTTTAGGTGAAGTTGAGCACTCTAATTAGCAAGCTGGAGGGATCACATGCAACACAGCCTCCCCTACCCCTCCCCATACCATGACAAACCTAGCTTTTTAAAAATATTTTAAGAAAGAGAAGGAACTGTGGAATTTATTGGCAGCCAAGGAATGTGTCCAAGACACAAGCTGAGGTTTTGAATAAAAAGTGAACTTTTGTAATTTGAATTGGGTCCCCCCCCCCTTAGTTCTGGAATTGTTATGAATCCTATATCTGTTTGTATATTTGCAAGCCCTTTGTATTATAATTGTTGATATTTCCCCTTTTTAAAAAATACCATTGAAATCAGCATGACAAAATAACACTGTTGGCACTTATAGGTAACGTGATTGATTCAGTATCTTAGAGTTTACAGTTTGTGTTTTTAAAAAAAACTGAAGGTTTTTTTTTTTAAGTGCAACATTTCTGTATACTGTAAAAGTTATAATAACTGAACTGTTTGGTCGAGTCTTTGTGTGTTATATTCCAAGGAAAATTGAAAGTATTCAGAAATTAAAATATTATTTGATATCTGAAACCGGCTTGGCTGTCCCCACTCACTGTCTTTCCATCAAGTTGAGACCCTGTGGGCCCTTGCTCAGCCAGCGGGGGCCCGTTTGTTTACTCCCCTCAATCAGTTTGTTCAAAGGTAGACTAGTGTATTTGCCTGTTTAATTTGGGTGTGTGGTGGGGGAGCCGAAGTTAATGGTTTATCTATGGTTTAGGAAGTGCCACACTGATATAGTAAGCCACCCCCATTCACCTAATCCTCCTTTTAATTAAAAATGGATTTTCCAGGAGAAAAAAAAAAGAGAGGCTCTTATATTTGTCACACTTAAGTGCCTGCTTAGGGAAAGTATTGTGAAAAGTATTAGAAATCTTGAGATCAGTATCTATTTTATGATCAGGAAAAAATGCTCTTTTGTACATTTCTGACAGTTATGCAGAGGATCGTTGGAGCAAGCTAATCACAGCACTGTAAATAGAGGGCAGTTGTTGGCAATGAGTTTTTCCTTAAGTAAGTGTGATTTTTTTAAAAAAAGAAAATTGTGGTTCTCATCTAGCGTGGCTGTTGAGAGGATTTTGAATACAGTGATGTAGCTGCTAGCGATGAAGGGTCTGGTTTTTCATGTATATATGATAACTTGCAGTTGGCCTGCCTTTCCCCTCCCCCTCCCTCTTCAGTCTGTGAGAGCATGACCACAGGTCAAGGGAATCTTTTCCATTGGAGTTATGTACATAAAAACCCATGGACATTTGGACATTTCAGATTGTAATTTACAGTCTGCACTGCTCTTGGGATCCTTCATTCTTAGAAGCCAATTTTTAAGGGGGGGGGGGGAGAGAGAGAGAGAGAGAGAGAGAGAGAGAGAGAGAGAGAGAGAGAGAGAGAATGAGAATGAGAATGAGAATATAAAAACTTTACAGGGTGTGCTGATCTGGGAAGCCTAATGTTTGTTCCAGTCTTCTATTCTCTTTGCCTGGTTTAGAAAAAGCTCAATGCTGAGAACTTACAATTTGTTCCTATTTAGACTTTCCAAGCTGCCCTCCCTGACAATACTTTTACCATATTGTGGTTTAATCTTAAAATGAGGGAGGGGCTGATGAAAGAGGTGAAAGAAAAGGGATCATTCTGCAAAGTGCATTAAACTTTGATGCTCAGTTCTGGTTCATCCATGCAGACCTGAAAATTCTGCCTGATTTAGGCAGAGCTCCCCATCTGACCCTCACCTTCTCTCTGTAGATATATATATATACATAAAGTATGTTTTGCAGCAGCATCTGACCTTTAGATGGAGGTTTTGTTGGTTGTTTATTTTCCCCTCTTGCAAGTGCTATCCATGTTGAGTGTGTGAAGTTTCTCCACCAAGTAAAACATAGGCCCTTTTCCTTGTTTGTTTGTGTTAGCTTATTGTAAACAGCCATTTGTTGTAAATTATTATTGGCATTAAATTATAATTTATGATTTTCAAAGCAAAAGACAGTCCCCTGTTTTATTATGCTTTTAAGTATGTGTTCTAGGCGTTGAAAAATCTCTCTCTGGCTCTCTCTAAGTTTCAGCGATGAGCTTGGGGGTCTTCGAGGCAGAAAAAAAAACAGGACTCAAAAATTTTCATCGGGTTAAAACAAAAGCCCTTGTATCTGTTTAGAGTGGCCGGGGGAGGATCTGTTTAGAGTCTGGAGTTCGGTTTAAGTTTATTGCATTTAAAGAAAGTTTTTCTTTTCACGCTGAGTTAGAACAAAAGATCTTTGCTGCGTCTGAATTAGACAAAAGACGAGGGCTGGGACCCAGCGAGTGCGTTCTGTGTGAAATTGACGAGATCTTAAAAAAAAAAAGAAAAAAAGAAAAAAAAAAAGCTGCTAAACATGGCGACTCTTTCCCTTTAAGTGTCTCTTTTTCCTTGCTGTTTTTTTTTTTTTTTCCCTCCTCCATCTGATCTGAGCTCGCTTTATTTCTTTTCCCAACCCCACTCCCCCTCCTCCCGGCGCTCGGTGGTGTGAGAGAACCCAGTTAGAGGCGAAACGCAACAATGGTCCGAGGAGAGAGAGGGGCGATCGCTCCTTCTTGCCACTTTCAAACAAACCTGGGAGAAGATTGAGCTTCGGGGGAGGAGGGAGGGAGGGAGGGGGTTGGTTCTAGCCGGTTCTCTGGGCTCGCGGTCGCCCTGCCTCGGCCTTTCACGTAGAGCTTGGCCGGGGCGGACGGGGTGGCTGGGGGGGGGAGGAGGTGGCGGGGAGGGGGGTGGTGGTGGTGGTGGCGAGGGCCTGGGGCTCCAAGTTAGCGGGCGGCGTCCAGGGCTGGGTCCCCCGGCGACGGCCTGGTGGTAGCATCGGCAGGCGGCGGGGACCGGGTCGGGAGTTGGCAGCGGCTGCGGGAAAGTGCTTGGCCCCCCGCCCCCCGCCCCCGCCGCCAGGGCCGCAGTGTTCCGCCCCGAGCCCGGGAAAATCCGGGGTGCCGAGAGCGCCCAGCTGCTCTCCCGGGACGTGCACCGAGCAGCGACGGGCGGGGGGCGGGGGCGGGGGGCGGTCAGGGGGAGCTCGAGCGTGTGAAAACTCTGCCTGCAAGCTCGCTTTTGACTTGGTCCTATGAGCTGAGCCAACATGGCGTCTCCCATTGCACCGCCAGCGCAGGCTGCCAGGCACCGCACGGCCGGGTAATAGAAAACACATTGGTTACCAAAAAGAAGGAAGAAAAAAGGGGTGGGTGGTGGGAGGGGTGGGGGGGGGAGGACTAAGGGCCATTCGGTCTGCAGGCAGAAATCCCTCTTTTAAACTCTGGCTGGCAAGTGAGAGCAGTCCTCGATTATTCTGTAATTAAAGCAATAGCGTTGGTGGGGGAAAATGTTGGTAACCCACGAACCTATAGCCCCTCTTTTTTGACACCCCCCCCCCAGATATTCAGGAGAGCTGATTTCATGCCCCTCTCCTCCCAGAACCAAATGAGAAGAATAAAAAAATCGGTATCCACAAACGATCTTAAGTGTTTGAATGGTATAGGGGGAGGGGGAGAAGCCAGTATTTACAGACCTGGGTCAGTTCCCCGCGCTCATTAAAGCAGGGGCTGCTCTGGGCTTCCAGCGGGCCTGGGACCTGCTCAGGGGATGGAGGGGAGCTGTGAACCTCGCCTGCTTGGTACAACTTGCTGCTTGCCCATCAAAGTTCAGGGAAAGGTGGCTTAGCGGATAGAGATTTAACTGGAGAGTAGCACTGAGAAGGGGCCTAGGGCCGCATCCAGGAGGGTGGTCGCGAGGCCCAGTTATGTGAGAACCCTCAGTGGACTGCGCCACTGACTGAAGCGCATCTTCAGAGGAAGAATCCCTTCCTCCAGTAGGTTTGAGAGCAGGCCAGGGTGGCAGGCGGACAGACGGGCCTCACAGAAAGTCTCTTCCCAGGCCTCTTGGGAGACCCTAGATTGGGACCCATCAGCTCTGGTTCGATGGGGGAAATTTTTTTTTTTCTGTCCAGTTTCGAACCTAGCATGGGCCTGGGGAACCCTATCAACCACCTGGGAGGGAAGTGAGGTACCCTGAATTCCAGGCCCCGTCAAGATTTATTGAAGTTGGGTTTTAAAAAACGTGCTTCAGATGATTTTTCCCATTTTCTCAGATTTCAAAGGCTCCCTGCAGTGCGGCTGCCTAATTAATGGTGAAATTCAACTAAATCTAATTATGCAGTAATTTTAAAGCAGTTAGTGCTGGGCGTTGGTTTGTAATAGGACCCCGGTTTTTTAAAGTTTGTTGACTGTATTGGTTTAGGGGAAAGCTATCTTTTGTATGGTAAAGAAAGATGGGGAAGAGTTTGCCTGCTGGGATGGGGAGGGCTCAGGACTGTCTGCCTTCCCACCCTCATCCCCAAGTCCTACCATTCAGTCTCTTCTCTTGTTTTCTCTTTCATGCCCCGGCTAAAAAGCTGAGCGAGGTGCTAACCCCACAAGCAGCCCCAGTTTCCTGGTGAAACAGGAAAGGGAGAATCTTTCCTTTGGAGACACAAAGGGCCAGGCTGGTATGGGTCCTCTTGGATGTATCCGTAAAGACTTGAAAACCGGGAAGGGACTCCCTGCTCCTCTAATCCAGAACAGATTTCCTCCCCAGCATCCATTGTCATTAATGCGCAAAGCTGACTCTTGGAGTTATAAATCTTATCGTCCTTCTGATAACACACTTGTAATAAGTTAGCGTCCTATTCAATGTGAATTGTAAAACTGCCTCATTTAATATGGCATAAGTGTCATTAAAACTTTTTCCCCCTTGCTTGGTGACTTGCTGGTCTGGCCTTGGGGTAGCAGAGGTCCTTTACTACTGGGCCTCTGGGGTTGGGCAGATGAGAAGAAAGGTGTGAGAGATGGGCTGCTTGGATTCCACCTCTAGATCTTAGGCCAGGGTGAAAGACCCCCAGGCAGAAAGGGCTTATGGGGGTGGTGTCCCTCTCTCCCGCCCCCACCCCAGTAGCCCCTGAAAATGACATTCCTTGAAAGAAACATGCTTGTGATTAGTTAGGCAAACACATGTGCTTTCGGAGTTGGGCCTTCCTTAATTAGCCGAACAAAGGCCGTTTTGCTTTTTACCTTTTGCTGGGAAGAATGTGTTATTTCAGGAGTGTCGCGGGTTCTCCTCTTTTCAATTGCAGCCACGACGTTAATTTTATTGGGATTACTGATGGGAAATGAGGTGGCGCAGGCTTCCGAGAGGAAAAGCTTGATCATTACTCCCTTTGGAACTATATTTTTCCACCCAACCTCCTGCTCCTGAGGAGGGGGTGGGGGGCGAACTGCACAGCAAGTTCGGAGCAATTGGAATCAGGCTCGCGGTACGCTGATCTCGGGTGACAGAGCGTGTGTTGAAGCTGAACTCTATAATTTGCGCCTCTGTTCCTTTATTAGGCCTGGACAACGAACTAATGAGCTTTGGCCCAGTACAATGTCACTTGTATTTATTTTCTTATGGCAACTTTAAGATAGCGGAAGTGCTCCTTACCAGGAGCCAGGGAGGGCCGAGAGATCGGTTCGCTGCTATTCGGGATGGGGTCGGTAGCTGTGTCCCCAG